AATTTAGATGAATAAATATATTGATTAATGATTAATATTTGTATTAATAATTATTAATATACATATATTACTACTATGATATATCTTTATCAAGCTTTTTATTTTTGCTCTAAATGTCTTTTTTTTTATGAATCCTTATCCATAGGTAACTAAAGAATAAAAGATAAAAATACTTTCAATAATTCTTTGAGTGTAGGATCATTGAGATCGTGTGCAGACTTGAATTTAGTTTCATCTAATTTTAATCCTGAAATTTAGATAGTGCTATTAGCAAGAACAGCAACAGTAATAGTGAATTATGCAACAATACTATTTGGACTTATCAAAATAGGATAAGGATTTAATAATTCATGTTTAGCACATTCTTAAACAGCTAATTTAGCTGTAATTTCATCTTCGAAGGCTCTTAATGAGAAACATAAAGATGGATATTTTTCATAAACTTCTTGCATAAATGCTCTACCATGTTTAGTTTTTAATTAATATTATCTATCTAATGCTCTTTTATAGACAGTAGTTCTTAAATCAGACTAAATGAATATATAAATATTGATATTTACCTCTTTAGTCTTTCCATCACCTGTTGTAATATAAACATCTAAAACAAAAACATCATTAACTTAGATTTCTTCTTCATCAACTCTTTGTTCTTATGTTTCTCTATTAATGATAACCTTATTTCCATCAATAAAGTGTCTTTTAACTTCATGACTTAAAACTCCTTCTAATGGAGTACATTTATGATCATCTGCAATTTATTAAATAAGCTTAGTTAAAGCTGTATTAGTAGTGCCTGGCTTAATTGATCTATAAAGAGCTTAAACTGATTAATATGCAGCCAATATAACATCAGCCTTCTAACCTTCGACTTAATCTTCTCCTACTACTACTGTGTGTGCAGCTATTGCAATATATCCATCTATATGTACGCCCAATTCACTATTTATTTATTATTAAAATTACATCTTAGCTACATCACCCTTTACTAAATTACTGGTTTCACTCTTCAATGGAGAATAATGACCGCATATTTAATTCACAGAAATTGTTGTTGGAAATGCCAACCCTTTTTCTATATTTTTCTTATTGTAAACTTTTTATAGTTCTCCACTTATCTCTGAATCTCCAAAAGCACAAATTTAAGCTATATCACCATTTACTTATAATTTAGCAATCACTTTTTCAAGAACAACT